GAATAATTTGTCATTGGAACATTGTTTCTATGTAGAATAGAATGAAATTGCAACACTATGAATTGTAGGACTTAAGAGTTTAAGGTGTTAGAGTTTATAGTTTTTTAATTAAAGAATCGTAATCTAAAACAATAATCAAATTCTTTAATTCGTGAAAATCGAACAAGACACAATTCACCCTTCTTATATCTATGGTGAGAAGCTAAAATAGCAATGTCATAACAATCATTTGGCTATGTACCTTACACATCTAGCTTGCATGCACAAATATTGTCTTGTATTTTTAGGACAATTTATATTGCATATATAGTTTATATATATGCATTTGTCTTGAACATTACCTACATATATATATATATATATATATATATATATATGATCTTTTTTTTTGTTCTTTTTTTCCCTTTTGGAAATTGGATTTGTTGATAATCCAAAAAAATGTACAGATGCATGTATAAGTGCATATCTAGTATCTAGGTAACAAAAACAGGTAGATCTAGCTGCATGTTTTTTTGTGGAGTTGAATCTCAGAAATTATTTTTCATAAAATTTTGGAAAATTATATCAAAATATTGTTTTTATTTTGTTCATTAATCCAAAAGAGAGCTTCAATTTATATTTTTGGCTAAACACAACTTCAATTTTTAAATGTCATTTCTCACTTTGAAAATAAGAACAATAACATACTATTCACTATTCAGTGTAATCCTATAAATGGAGTTTAAAGAAGGTATTGTGTACATAGATCTTACCCCTACAATGTAGAAAAATTATTTTCAATAGACCCTCGGCTCACTTTGAAAATAAAAATTCTCCAAAAATAAAATTATGTTTTTTTCAAATTTCACAATTTTCTTGTTCAAATGGATACTTAATTGCTACTTTATTAAAGAATTACGCCCTTCGGGTGAGTATTTTGTGTGCATTAGGTAAATTCCTCATTGTGTGATAACCCACAAATCATACAGGGATATAAATCGTATTAAGCAAGTCTTATGCAAGAGACTCGACTCAGAAAATATTGAGGGGATCCAGGTCATCAACCATTTTGATGGTGAAATATATTGTCTTTCCCGCCTATATATTAGGCTTTTCTAAACAAAAAAAGTTACTTTCCAATTTGAGATTGATATTGTTTTTAATAAATATTTTACTTTTTAAAGAGAAATTTTCAGCACGAATCTGAATTAATCAGATCTTAATATATGTATCGGACCATTGCACTCAGAGAGTAAAATTATAAATATCGAATTACAACTTCAATCCCTATTTATTTCAATTTCAGTTCATTTTTTTCTATCAGGGATCTTTTTTTCTCATCAAATTATGTTTTTTTTTAAAAACGTTTATTTTATTAATGTTGGTGTGGCTAGATTCAACAAGGAAAACTTAAAATACTAATAAATCATTTAATTATCTGTTATGGATTGATAGCGTGTGTTTTTTTAGTTATTAATATATTCTAATTTTGATGTTTGTGATATTTGATTAAATACATTTAATTTTTAATTAATTGGAATATGTGGTTTTTATTATGCTTGTGAATATTCACAAATTTATTATAATTATTAGTCGTTCCACCACTTAATTACACATGTGTTATGTTCAGCTTGTACTATCTTCATATGTGACAGTAATACAATTTTTTCAAAAAATAGTTCAAATACAACATACTTCTAACATAAAAAGACTTAAAACAAACATTTTGATTATTCTAAGATTACATGTGCTTTGTCAGATATCACAATAATTAGAATATACCTATAATTTATGGACCAAAGTGTTGTTATCTCATTTGTTATCTTTCTTTCGTTCATTTTATTTGTCCACTTCGAACTTTGCATGTCTCTTAAGTAACAATGATTAATATAGGTATTTACCACAATATTCATATTAATTAATGTGTAGTCTTAGATGGTGGAAAAGAATTTAGAAAATAAGAAATTAATATTGAAGATAAAATAGAAAAATAAATATTTTCTTAATTTGTTAAAAGTGAAAAATAAAAAAAATATTTTTAAAATTATAGACTAATAAAAATAAAATTTTAATCTTTCATATTTTGAATTCTCTTAGTGAAAATCTTAAGTCTGCCATCGAAATCAGGTGGTCTAATTCTAGTCATTGATTTTTTTTCACTAGGACGTTTGAAAAATGAGATTTACAATATTATGAACATAAATAAAAAATAAGAATTTAAAAAAATATAAGAAATGACTAAATCAATAAGCACATTTATTTCTGAGTTACACAAGTGATACACACACGTTTTTTTTGGTTGTTAAAGTCAATTAATGATTTTCCATATCCACTTGGTTTGTTTTAGATTTATTCTAAAGAACACTTTTCAAGGTCAACTATATTATTGTTGTTTAAATCATCAACAAACTTATTAAATTTGTGGGGATAAATATGATTAGGGATCACACAAAATGGTGAAAGTTTATTATTGTCTATTTCACGTGCTAATACTTGTCTCAGGATTGGGCATAAAATATCAAAAAATTTGATATTTGGTAATTCGTTAATTGGCATGGTATTTGGGAGTAAAATTTTAAAATTATGATATTCGGATTTAGATTTAGTATGAGACATTAGAATCAATTGGTATTCGATATTTTTCGGATTGCGAATTATTTACTTAATGAAGGTCATATATCAGCAGGTTCATAACTCAATAGTACAAGTCTATAGAGAAAGTTAAAGACACATAAACAAATGTCTTTTAGTTGTATCTATATACTTTTCTTGATATATTCTTACATGTTGATCTTTTATTATATTGTGCCTCCACATAGAGAAAAGAAATAATTGGAGCAATAATATTAATTTTGTAATACAATCGACTACAACTTAAATACGGTATTTTCGAATATTGTATGAATCGAAGTTTGATTTACCAATTACCGAATCGAAATTTAAAATTTTTGATATTTAATATCTATTTTTAACTATCAATTACCGAACTTCAACCCTACTTATGCTCCTAAAATCTCAACTCCTTTTTATTTGACTCTTACACAAGAAAAAAAAAAGAGAATCACAAGAAAATTGCATAGAATTGATCAGTTATAGCTAACATAATTTGTTTTTTCAAGTTATTAATTAGATGTTTGATTTTCAAATTGAAGAAATGGCAATTTAAATTCAACAACAAAGGATCAAAATTATCGAACTATGCGAAATCGAAAAGAATACCCTTAATTTATAATTGTATCGTCGCAGTGATGGAGTCAGAAAAATTATTAAGAATGTTCAAGAATAATGAGGTGTGATTGTCAAAATAAAACAAAAAAATATTGTACTATTTGAGGTTTGAACCTAAAACTCCTTCATTCAAATGGACACATTTTACCACTATATCAAAGAAGTAGTTTTTTGTCAAGGTTGTCCAACTTTAAATATATATCATTTAAATGTAAAATTTAACATATATATACAACAGTATTTTTCGACGAAAAGTGTCCAATTGGGTGGCCGTAGCTACACCACTAATATCAAAAAATGTCTTTGTCGTCAATAGTTTGATCCAAAAGTGTGTATGATTCTAAGAATCATTCTCCACTTCTCAAATTGTATATTCAAGTTGAAACGGTAATGCCTCTCCCTGGTTTGACTTTGATGATGTGATTCACAATCATACATATATAACAATTAAAGAAAAACGAAAATAAATATTTAGACTAATTTACTTCGATAATATATTCGTTACGTTGATGGAAAGTGTTTCACGTCACGTCATATCAAAACAAAATTTATGTGCTCCTTATAAGATGTGTTTAACTTTTCTTCCTTTAAGTTGGGTTTTGAAGTGTAAGATAGGCTTAAATCTAATTTGATATGATATTAGAGTTAGGTTCGTTGAATTTGATGTGATATCCATGAACTGTATAAAATTGTGAATATACTCCTGGTCCTTGAATATCATGCTTTGAACTGAATAAAAAAACCTCACATAAAAAGTGTTTAAATCCAAACGTGAGGGATTGTTGATGGAAAGTGTCTCACGTCTGACCAGAACAAATTTTTTAGACTTCTTATAAAACTTAGACAGTTCTATTCCCATTAAGCTAACTATTAGGAAATAAGTTGACAATTTTCCCAAGGAAGAAAATAAATATATCCATTTTGTTTGTTGATCAAGTCAAATGGATTCCTATTTGGCTTCCTTGATTTTTTTTCTAATAAAATAAACATTATCTATGGTCAACTCCAATTATTATTGTTGAAAATTTTGAAGCAAAACTAGTGACTTTTGTGGAAATGACTATGATTCACTCAAAATGGTGAAAAGTACTTTCTTGATGATTTTTGCTTTTCACATGCCACTTTTTCTCTTCAAATTTCAAGTTTTTTGACTCTTTCAAGTTTCAACTAATATAGTAATGAGAAAAGATAGCAAAGTTGACTAGGTTACCATTTTAAGATGTAAAAGGACAATTATTTCATCCACCTAATTAAGGCATGTAAATTACTTTTAAGGATGAAACCAATCTTGCCACTCATTATTTTTTCCTCGTTTTAATTTGTTCATCTTATTTCTTTTAGTCCTTTTTGGGTTATTCAATAATTTCAATTTTCCACGTGACATGTTTAACACTATCGAGCTATTAAAAGATAAATTTAAAAAGTCCAAAACTGCCCTCAAGTTTGCAAAATATTAACCTTTGTCCTTGTTCACTAAGGGCTTTCATTTTGAACCTCAATTAAAACCACACATTTGAGTAAAATAGTCCAGGTAAGTACCAACACTCATAGCAAATATATGTCAAAAAGTTCAACAATAGAAGTACTAGTGAGCCAAACTTTAAACGGAGGGTAATGCAATACTTTTCTCAAGTACGCGAGTAAATATGACCTTTTCCCCCCTTTTAAAGTGTTGGCTATTAGTTTGCTCGCACCTCAACTACTTCATCAAGTATATAAGATCATAACATTTTATAAGATCATCAAAACTACACTGAAAACAGATAATATGGAGAAAAGAGGACATACCAAAATAGATCATAACATTTTATTGTCATGCCATAGCCCAAATAGGATGCTAACAACATATCACACAGCTTTGGCCAACACATATATATATTACACAACCACCATGACAAACAGTACTATAACATTTAACAAAAAGACCTGCAGCTGCACCTGCAGGTAATTTGTAACATTTTCCGAACCAGATATAGGAACAAAAGCGTTGAAATATCTCCGAACCAACGATTGACTATGGGATAAAGCTAAAACCTATATAGAGTTATAGACATATATGAAAATAAACTGACTGCTAAACCTTATTTAAAAACATCTATAAGTTCCTTCTAACCAGCAGCATGACATCTCTTACTACTCCCTTGTAATAACGCCATGCACGATCCTCCAACCTCTACATCTACATGGTAACAGAAAAACCAAACTGAGAACTATAGGTAATTGAAATCCACCTGATCAAAGGCAGATTGTGATATCCACTGCTTGATGTTCATTTGAGTAATCACACTGCTAGTACCAAACCGATGCGTCTTGCTTCGTCATGTCTTCATGTGAAATCCCAGAAAGACATTCAGAGAGATCTGTGGATTGCAAATTGAATGGAGATCCAAACATGAAATTGAAATCATCATTAGAGCCTGCATTGAATGGTGAAGTTAAAACCTTGCTCTGATCAAACCGATCTCCCTGCACAAACAAGGAGTTGTTAGCAGAAATGTTGGTGTCCCCGAAGATGCTTCCCTCCAACACATTCCCTTGGCTTTGAAGGTAATTGTTCTGTTGAATGCTAGGTTGTTGAAGAGGCTGCTCTTTGGACATCACAACGTTCCCCGCCATTGAGCTTTTGTTTCCTTGAACATTACTTTCATAGAATGACATAAGCTCATTGATCACCCTCTGCCCATCTGCAGGAACCCCAAGTCCAGATGTATCAAACGAGGGCGGAGCTGGGTTGACCGGAAGCGAAGCCTGCTTTGGCTGAGCATACTGTTGAGGGAAGACAACTGGCTTGACTTCCTCCACGTGAAAGTTTGGAACTCCAAATTGGGAGGTATTTCTGAAAAGGCAAGTTAACTGATGATTGTCTCTGCTGGATCTGTCTGGAAAACCATTGCGAAGCTCACTATGAGGACATTGAAGACACTCACAAGTATATATCTTCGGATCCATCAGAAAAGTCAAGTCATCAGCCGGCTTCCTCTTGCGAGTGAAATCTAAGTTGGCAAAAATGTCACCCTTCATTGGCTGAGACTGTTGTAGCAGAGGCAGCTTCTCCTTGAACATCTCAACATTGACATTCAGCAAACTGAGATGGTTTGGCTTTTGCTCTTGAATATCAAAGATAGGGTCATCAATAGCACCTTCAACATCATACTCACTGCTGTCATTCATAGTGAAGGTTCCACTACCACCACCTGAGGACAAAGGTGGACAGCGATCAGGATAAAGTTCACGAGCCAAAACTTCCTCCTGATTGATGATGGCAAGCCAAGTTGCACTTTCCTTCGCTGTCATCTTGTCCTGCAAGCACTTCGATTGCCTTACCAGCTTGCGAATCTTAGCAATATCAGGGGAGATGTGCTTGATCACCGCTGTGAGGACACCAACCTTCCAAGCCTTCTTCAGATCATGAGGCTTCTTATAAGGTGGAGGACCTTGATCATTTGGCAGTCCCAATTGAGGCCACCAATCCTCCTGTCCATTTGGCCACCATGGAGGTGAAACACCTTTTTCCAATGGAAATCGCCTCTGAGGAGGATCACAATGTTGCATTAAAGCTGACAGTAAAGAGCCAAGGGTGGTATCTTGAAGCTCCTGCAGAGTGTGAGGAGTAGGACCAATCGGATTAGAACCCTCATTCTTGCCAGGGATGGCATTGTCAGCTTGGTACTTTGCTATGGCAGCAGGTCCATTGCGATCAAACCTCACTTTATCCTTCCACCACTCCCTGAGATTATCCGATGCCCCAGTCACTGGTTTGCCTTTCTCCGGGATAATTCCATAAACAAAACCCTGAGCTTTACATACTTCCATCATCTTCAACATATACTTCAAGATCCCATCTTGTGCCCTGGACATCTTCTTCCTCCTAGCTTGCTCCTGAGACTGGCGTTGTTTGACAGCATCAACACCTTCCTTACCCTTACTCATTTCTTTCAGCCTTTTCAGCTTCATCTTGTCCCTCCACATCCTCTTCTCCAGCTCATCCACATCGATCTCCTCATCACTATCGTCATCATCCATCATCGGCTCCGGCTCAATCAGTGGAACAGCAGCTACTGTTTCCGCCTCCTTCAGCGGAGCAGGGAAGAAATCAAGATCACCACAAAACCCAATGTCTTCAAACATCATCATCTTGGCAGCCAAATTTAGGTTTGAAAAAAAGCAGCAACCTTCAAAAAACAAAATAATATTAACAACTATCCTCAAAATCCACAAGTTATTCTATCCTCTTCACATAAATTTTGGAGATAGGACAAAATATATAGTAGTTGGTCAATTAGATGATCACCTTCCCTTCTGCAAATACAAGTATATGAAAAATAAGAAAACTAAATTGATTACATCTAGCAACAACCAAAAGCTATATCAATCCAAACAAGCAAGCATATCTAGTCAAGATAATTAGTGGCCATAAAGAAAGTGAAGCATCATTATCAGAAGCACCTATATAAATATGTAGAACTGATATCACCAAAAAAAACAAAAAACAAAAAGTGATAAGACATGTGAAGATCACAACAAACACATGGACATGGAGCTCAACTAAAAGCTAGGAGAAAAAAGTAGCCCTTTTGGCAGAAAGTTAGTACTGACATCCGTGATATAAACACTTCCATCAAAAGAAGCCTAGATTTGTACACAACAGTTAAAAAACCAAAGATCATCTTGGGGGAAAAAAGGGATCTTTACTTCATTTTACAAGAACTCATTTCTAGCAAAATTTGACAAATTTCTAGATCTGAAATATCAAAAATTGCTACAGCCCCACAACCAAAAATCACAAATACAAAATAGAACAAGAGAGAGAGGAGGGTGAGGGTTTGGGGGTAGGGGTGGGGGTGGGGGTGGGGGTGGGGGGTTCTTCAAAACCTTGTAACTATCTCTCCCAACTATCTGGTGCCAGAGAACTGGAGATGCCATCTATCACTTGATGTGAAAAGAAATACAAAATTCAACTAAAACAATCTACAATAAAGCAGAAAAATACAATCTTGAAACAAAACTCCAATTTTTATGCTGAATCACAACAGAGAAAGCTATCCGGTAAAACCAAGATCAAAAATGAAGTCAAATAACAGAAAAATCCAATCTTGTATCAAAACCTCCAATTTTTATGCTAAAACACAAGGCAAAAACACAACAGAAAAAGCTATCCAGTAAAACCAAGATCAAAAAATGAAGTCAAATAACAGAAAAATCAAATCTTTGAAAAAAAGCTCCAATTTTTATACAGAAACACAGAGATAAACACATCAGAGAAAGCTATTCCAGTAAAACCAACATCAAAAATCAAGTCAAAAAACAAAAAAAAAATCCATTTTTATACAGAAACACAAGGCATAAACACAACAGAGAAAGCTATTCCAGTAAAACCAAGAACAAAAATCAAGTCAAATAACAGAAAAAATCCAATCTTGAAACAAAAGCTCCAAGTTTTATGCTGAAACACAACAGAGAAAGCTATTCCAGTAAAACCAAGATCAAAAATGAACTCAAAAAACAAGAAAAAAAAAACAATTTTTATACTGAAACACAAGGCATAACACAACAGATAAATCTATCCAGTAAAACCAAGATAAAAAACTAAACTCAAGTAACAGAAAAATCAAATCTTTAAACAAAAGCTCTATTTTTTATACAGATAAATCTATCCAGTAAAACCAAGATCAAAAAATCAAGAAATCCAAAATGTATCTACATCAAAATCTAATCTTTACAAAGTAAAAAGGCAAGAAAAAGAAGAATACCTCAAAGGGGTTTCTTCTTTTTGCTTCCAAAATTTTGTTCAAGAATTGACCCTTCAGAATATAGAAGGTAGAGAGAGAAGACGAGAGAACAAAGGGAATACTTTTTTATTACATGGATATAAATACTAGTATTTGTTGTGTGGGCTTTGGCGGTGGTGTAATAATATACTATTGGGGAAAGATGTCAAAATCTTTTCTTTGTTAGCCAATCCAAAAAATGAACTTATTTCCTTACTTTCTTGATCTATTGCTTTCATGAATTTTCTTTATTGAGAATGAAAATCATTATATATGGATACGATCGAGTGGTAAATTTTTTTAATTTTGAATTCGGAATGTGAATATGAGTTATCTTTGTTAGTAAGTATTTCATTTTTTAAATCAATTAGGATTTACTTATTTAGGAGAAGAACATTTCAGCTTACGTATATTAATCTTGAAATTATTATTTTTTTAATGTCGGTGATAAAAATATATGCAAATATTTTATATGATTGAGTGTAGCATTTTTGCGAAGTTTTAATGTATTTGGACACGCGTTAGAGAGAAAAATTTCAGGAGTCGTGTCAAAAATAACATGTAGAGACGCTCTTTCTTTCTGCACGAGATTCATGAATTTTTCTTGTTGAGAACACAGGAGAGCTATTGAGAATTCTCCTATGAATCAAATAAAATTTACCGACAAAGAAAAGACATCTGGCAAAGGATTTATCTGGTTCACAGGAGAATCTGACAAAGAAAAGGCATCTGTCAAAGGATATATCTGGTTCACTAGAGAATCTGACAATAGTTTCCATTTTGCTTTTTCTTTTTCTTTCTGCTTCATTATTCATGGCTTCTACCTTAATATTGATTTTATCGTAAGAAATAGTGTGAGGAATTCATTGATTCTCAACAAGAACATAATTTGAGCTTTTGAGAGCGGAATTTCCAAAAAGAATGTGTTTTTTTCATAAGGGTGTCCTTAAAGATTTTATATAGCTACTTTTAGGACTTTGTGTAGTTTAAATTATGTACTTTGAATAACGGATCACGTCTATTGTTTAAGGAAATAATATATTTTGTGGTTTGAGATTAAAATATATGTAATTTTTTTATATGATTACGTGTAGTATTTTGCTATGTACTACTATTTTGGAAAGGACTTATGTAGTCGCGCCAAATTTTTTTTTGCTACATCTATTTCGGAACTGAAGTTGATCGCGCCAAAAGTAGTTTGTCTTTATTGAGAGGAGAGGACCTGCGAAAGCATAAATATTCAAAAAAAAAAAAAAAAAGGTCGCGCCATAGGTAGTTATTTGTTCGTAAAATTATTATTTTTTATACAAGACCCCAAAAAAATTTCTTAGTAAGATTATAACAGTTTTGAGAGAAAATGGTCTATGAAAGGGTATATATTCCTCATAAGGATATTTTAGCACTTCGCTATGCATATTTTATACGATTATGTGTAGTATTTGCAACGTATCACTATTTCAGGAAGAACTCTAGCAGTCGATCCAAAAGTATATTGCTACATATCATTATTTCGGGAAGAATTTCAGCAGTCGCGCCAAAAGTAGTTTGTCTTTGAGAGGAGAGGACCTACGAAGGGATAAATATTCATGAAAAATTTCAACGATCGCGCCAAAAGTAGTTATTTATTCGTAAAAATTTTTTTTATTGAGAATATAACAGTTTTGAGAGGAAAGGATCTATGAAAGATATATATTTCTCATATAAGTATATATAGTACTTTGATATGCATATTTTATAGAGATAAGTGTCAAAAACATACTTAAACTATCATATTTTATTAAGTTTCATACCTAAACTATCACTTATTAGTTTGAGAAACATACTTCTCTATTTTACTACACTCTCTCTTTTATTTTAAAAAAAATTGTCACATCACACTCCACATGGACAAAAAAAATTATTTGATAAAAATTAAATAAATTATTAGTATTAGTTAAAGTTAAAGATTAAAGTATTGTTATCCCAAAAAAATTATAAATAAAATATAAAATATTTTTCATATCCCATTCCACCACTCTCCCCCTCCCCCCTCCCCACTTTTTTATTTTTTAAATTTCCTTTTATAAAAAGGTTTTAAAAAATTCTTATTTCATCTCCTTACCCAACCCCCCCCCCCAACCCCCAAATAATAACTTAGATAATATTTCAATTTAAAAAAAAAAAAATTCTACCCAACCTCACTTAACCCTCCGCTTCCAATTTTTTCTCGCGTATATATATATATGTCTCTGTGTGTGTTTTTAGAAAAGTATATTTTACTTGTTGCAAGACTTTTTTTTAAAATAAATTTTAAAATTCTGTTATATTCGGTACCTAAGTAGAAAAAATATATGTTCCTAAAAATATATGAACATATCTAACACAAAATGAGAAATTGTAAAAATAAAATAAAAAGGAATGAAGGGTTAGATGGGGTGGGGTAGAATTTTATTGTTTTTTAAAAAATAAAAATAATATCAATTTTTTTTACGAAAGGAGTGGGGGAGGGGTGAATTTTTTATTTTATAAAAAAAATACAAGGACGGGGGGATTGTCTGGGAGGTGGGGTTGTATAGGGGGAGGACGTAGTGGGGTGGAGTGGAGTGAGAAAAATATTTTAAATTTTATTTTTATAAAAAAGTAATTTCTTTTTTATGGTAATACTTTAATCTTTAACTTTTAACTAATATTAATAGTTTATTTAATTTTTGTCAACGTGTGAAATGTCATGTGACAAGAACTTTTCAAATAAAAGAGAGAGTGTATTACACACATCACTAAGGTGTGTTTCTCAAACTAATAAGTGATTGTTTAAGTATAAAACTCACACTAAATAGTTTAGGTATGAAACTCAAAAAAATGAGATAGTTTAAGTGTGTTTTTGACACTTATCTCTATTTTATATGATTACGTGTAGCATTTTGCTACGTATCACTATTTCGGAAAGGACTTCAGCGACCGCCAAAAGTAATTTATTTTTTAGAGGAGAGGACCTACAAAAGGACAAATATTTGTGCCCAATGTAGTTATTTATTTGTATTTTTTTTCTTTTTATAAAAGATCCAAAAAAAATTCTTATTGAGATTGTAACAGTTTTGAAAGAAATGATCTACGAAGAGTATATATTTTTCATAAGGATATATGTTAACATTTCATATGGTCACATTCAGTTCTTTATTAAGCTTAAATAGTATATTTTGAGTAACTCGTACTAAAATTAACGAGAAGAATATTACGAAAGACATATATTGATCATGAAAAAAAAAATTATGTCTACGAAAAAAATTTATGTGCAAATCTTAAAAGATTGTGTAGTATTTGTAAGTTTTTAAGCATATTTTAACACATTTCAGCATTTTGTGAAAAAAAAAATAGAAATTGCATCAAAATTAATATGTGAAGACACTCTCTTTATGCAAGAGATCCAAGAATTTGAGTTTTCAAGAGGGGTATTTACAAAAGGGTATGTATTATTCATAACGGTATATGTAAATATATATATATTTCATATAGTTACTTTTAGTACTTTGTATTTATTTATATTGTGTATTTTGAATAACGAATCACATATATTGTTTCTGAAAATTATATATTTTGATGTTTGAGATAAAAATATATGCAAATATTTTATTACGTATAATATTTTGCTATGTAAAACTATTTTGGAAGAACTTTAGCGGTCATGTCAAAAGTGATTTGTCTTTGAGAGAAGAGAATCTAACAAAGGGTAAATATTTAGCAAAAAACTTCAGCTACCTTTTTTCTTCGAGGGATGGGATTGGGTGTATAATAACATTTTTTTAGGATGTTCGAAAAGAACTCCTTGTTCAATTAAGGAGAAAATGTTGGAAGCTCATGGATTTTGAGTTTCTCTCCTTTCGAATCCGGGGTTGGGCCGTTCCCTTTGATTCGCGCATCGGAAATGAGCTACAGATCAAAATTATCTAGTAAAGAAATCGGGGTTAGCGGTTGACTGAATCACCCTTCACCCGACGGAGGAGGTTAAAACTGATTCAGAGCTACGCCATCCACAAACAGATACCCAAAGTCTAAGGTGACCTTTGCCAAAACAAGACCCACGATAACTTCACCAATATGGAACGATCGCATTAAAAATAGTTATTTGATCGTAAATTCTTATATATATATATATATATATATATATTTCTTATTAAGAATATAGCAATTTTGAGAGGAAAGGATCTACAAAAGATTATATATTTTTCATAAGGATATATATTAATATTCCATATGGTCAAATATTTTTTCCAAATACTATGACAAAACACATGGTGAAATTTCACCCAATTTTCCGTCCAAAAATATTTGAAAATCTATGACGAAACACTAGCTAAAACTAATGTCGGATTCTTCTATGAGTGAAATGAAATTTATCGGGGAAAAAAAAGACTTATCACTGATTATTGATTCATAAGAAAATTCAATAATAGTTTTAATTTTACTTTTTTCTTTCTTTCTGCTTCATTTTTCATGGCTTCTTCCTCATATAGTTATACTTTTAGTATTTTGTGTAGTTCAAATTGTGTATTTTAAATAACGGATCACATTTATTGTTAATGGAGATAGTATATTCCGATGTTTGAGATAAAAATATATGTAAATATTTTATATATGGCATCAAAAATAGTTTGTCTTTGAGAAGAGAGGCTTTATGGAAGAGAAAATATTCATAAAAAATACCAACGGTGCCAAAAGTAGTTAATTGATGGTAAAAATATTCTTGTCAAATTAATCGAGATGCGCAAAAATTGATCTGAACACTACGGTCATTAAAAAGATATATAATTCTCATAAATATATATGCTAATATTCCACATGGTCACATTTAGAGCCCGTTTGAACTGGCTTAGAAAAAATAGTTTTTAAATTAAAAATAAAAAATCAAACTGAAATGACTTTTAAGTTAAAAAATAAAAAGTAGGGGAACCTACTTTTGATTTTTAACTTATTTTAAGTTATTTTTAACTTTATCAAACACTTTCTAACTTATTTTAAGTTATTTTTATTTTTATCAAACACTTCCCGAAGACATTCATGAATATATATTTGTTTATGTCTGA